TGGGAGAAATACATATACCCGAATGTCATGAAAATCTACAGAATTATAACGCATGCACTATACTGTATATGATACATATCAATCTAATATGTATTTATATATCTTTACAAATGTATGGCATATATTGTACTGCTGACCATCACACCATTTATATCAGATGAGATGGCATAAGATAAAATGAAGAACGGCTTAAATTGTGATGAGACACAATCTTTCCTGTGATCATGTTTGGAAAATCAATGTGCTGCATATGCCAAATGGCGTGTCTGATAGAGCTGTGATATAATGCATCTGTTCTGTTGTGTTTAAATATGTGTTGGTGGTTCCCTCACAATCTGCACTTGTTTATTTTTGAATTTCCTACTTGGTGTTTATGTTCTTCAGCCTCCTCTCTTCCCACCAGCATACTTCTCTGAACACTGACAACGTCTGCCTGATGACACATTCTTTAGATGCCCGCACGCTCACAAACACAAAGTAATAACAAAAATGATCTTTTTCTCAAAGAAAGGCAGACATGATATCATCAATCAAATGAAAAGAACTGTTGTAGGTGCAGGGGTGGAGGTACACTTAGGTGCCTGAGGCTAGATTAGGCCCAAGGCTAGTGCCAGGGTTCTAAAAGACACAAGGGCAGTGAAAACTTTCACTCTGTATAGTGGACCATATTTAAAGGGAAGCTATGTGCCCTTTACTAACATTTATAGATAAAGTTGATCCAGGGAACATCCGATTGCCTCTCGGGGGATCAGGAAGGAATTTTTTCCCTTTAGGAGCAAATTGGATCATGCTTTGCTGGGTTTTTTGCCTTCCTCTGTATCAACTGTGGGTGTAAGATTATAACTTTTTTTCTTTTAATCACTTCCCGTCCGGCCCATGTACATAAACAGCCAGACGGGAGCAGTGCAGGAGCGGGTTGCCGTTCATAAACGGCACCCGCATTTTCAGCCAATGCGTGCTCCCTGGGAGTGCACGGCATCGAGATCTGGTGCACTGATCGCTGTACGGGACCTCTGTGTGAGGTCCAGATCATGTGATCACTGATTCGCCAATGTCACATGAACAGTAGTAAGCAAGATGTCACTTGCTTACTACTTGTGACATCTGTGAATGATCACAGAGATCACATGGTACAAGGCTATTTATAACAGCCTTGTACCATGTGACAAGCTGTGACCAATCACAGCTCTCACAGTATTTCTCAATGGCTGCAGGAATGCAGCCAGAGAGAAGAGAGAAATGATTGCTTTTACAGCCTTTATGGGTGTAAAAGAAATCAGTGTTGAAAAAAACAAAAACAAATCTTCATCACCCCCCACAAGTAGTACAGTGTCACTGTGGTGACACTGTACTGCTAGGGTGACCATATGTAAAAAAAAAAAAACCCATAAATAATAATATAAAAAAATTAAAAAAATGTTTTTGAAAAATTATAATTTTTGGTTATAAACTAATATGGGTCATTTTTTTTTTACTAAAAAGATAGCTGAATACATTTTGGCCAAGATTTATGAAGAAAGATTATTTATTTGCAAAATTGTATAAGAAAAACACTTTTTTAAAAACATTTTTGGACTATTTCATTTATATAGCAAAACAACATAAAAATCCCAGTGGTGAATAAATACCTGCCTCAAAAAAAATGCTAAAAAATGTATATGGGTACAGTGTTGCGTGACCGTGCAATTGTCATTCAAAGTGTGACAGCACTGAAAGCTGAAAATTGGCCTGGACAGGAAGGGGGTGAAAGTGTCCGGACTTGAAGTGGTTAATGGTTGAATTGGATGGACGTTTGTCTTTTTTCAGCCAGACTAACTATGTAACTATGTGGAAAATAAGTGTGGTTTAAAAGGGAAATGGAAAAGGCATCCTCTGGCCCAGGGCACATGGCAGATTGGTAACAAAAACAGAAGAAAATAAATAGTTGGTATTATAACCTAATCAGGAATCAAGAAAGTATAAAAGGTTATGAAGACAGCTAAAGGGCTAAATCTCTAGTCAGTTAATGAGCCAAGTCTTTAACCTACACTGAAAAGAAATGGGACTTTTTATGAATATCCATATTTCTCCATGGTAACATGGATATTTTTTATTAGATGTCCATTGGCGGGGTCCCCACAGTATCCAGAAGACTCCAGCAGTAGCATGATGATATTACGACAAGGGGAAGCAACAAGATCTGTCAATACTGGGACTGGACTACAGTAGAGGAACACCGGTCCCCACCTATGGAAAAGGTGATGCGGTGGGTCATGTGAAAGCAGACTCAGGTGAGTTAAATATATTGCTTTAAGGGTTTTTTTTTCTAATGCACAATTTTTATTAACGCTTTCCAAAAATACAACCCCTTGCTCCACCACATACAGTTACAGTACAAAGGCTAATCAAATAAAGATGGCTGCAACACAAGATAAATGAAAACCTTGTGCAAGATAAAGTAGGATACAGTAATTGCATCATCAACAGTAAAATCAGTAGAAATGTTTAAGTATAGAAAGCATGGTGATAGGTGCCCACATGTCAAAGATATCAGGTATAGCTCACTACTTCGGGGAGTAGCCTGTAGGTATAGTAAAAGGCACCAACCAGGGGCGGACTGACCATTCGAGGACTCGGGCACTGCCCGAGGGCCCGGGGTCAGTAGGGGGCCCCATGAGATGCCCCTGGTACCTTTCATTGGCTTTTTCATAGGTTTTTTGAGTGTGGGCGAGGACATAGGGGCCCCATGATCCCCTATTGCCCGTGGGCCCCATGAGTTGTCAGTCCGCCCCTGGCACCAACTACTCAAGCACATGATTAGTGATGAGCCGAACACCCTCCTGTTCAGTTTGCAGTCGAACATTCGAACGTAACGAAAGTTTGACCGCGAACTTCGAACCAGGACAATCCGAGTATGTGGTAAGATACTGCACAGCATTTTTTTTAAAAAAACCTACTAGAATACCGCATGAGTTATTTTATTTTTAAGTCATGCGGTATTTTAGTAGTCAAAACATGCTTTAATGTTTCAGCTGTCAGCGGGGTCCCCCCTGACAGCTGAATGTAAAAAGCATTGCAATGAAAAATTTTGCAAAACAAAATGGCGTGAGGTCCCCCCCATCCATACCAAGCCCTTTAGGTCTGGTATGGATTTTGAGGGGAATCCCCACGTCAAAATTTAAAGATAAATGGCTTGGGGGTCCCCCCAATCCATACCAGACCCTTACCTGAGCATGCAGCCGGCAGGTCAGGTCAGGAAAGGGAGGTGACTAGCGAGCACCCCCCTTCCTGAACCATACCTGGCCACAAGCCTTCAACATGGGGGGGTGCTTTGGGGCAGGGGGGCTCCCCCCCAAAGCACCTTTTCCCCATGTTGATAGGGACAAGGGCCTCTTCTCCACAACCATGGCCGGTGGTTGTGGGGGTCTGCGGGTGGGCGGCTTATCAAAATCTGGAAGCCCCCTTTAACAAGGAGGCCCCAGATCCCGGCCCCCCATGTGAATGAGTATGGGATACATGGTACTGCTACTCATTGACAAATAAAAAGTGTAGTGTAAAAAATGACAGTAGACAGTCTTTGACAAGTCCTTTATTAAATGTGGTCAGGTGCATTGATTTGGCAAATCACAATGCACTGTCAGAACATCAAGCCCAACTCTAATATAAAAATATACTGCATAAAGTAAGGTGAAGAGTGGACATAACCAAACCAAGAGAAGCTAAAATAAGGGTTCTTCTCATTATTGTGAATAAGTGGGTGGAAGAGACTGAGGACAGGGAAAGTTTGGGGGGTGGTGGAACACTTCACCTTTTCACCTTCAATGCCAGAGAACCTTCTCCTTTCACTGGTAAAATCAGATAGTAATATAGGTAGTCAGGTGAATTATTCAGTATGAAGGAGTTTCCCCCAGTCACATTTCAGATCTAAGCACATCTTGAAAGCATTTTTAATCAAATTGGTGATATGTCAAGCAGAGACACAGGTTGAGTTGTTGCGGTACATACTATAGGAAGCAGACCTTCCCATACCTTCCCATACCACAGGTGGGCATCCCTGTGAAATATGGCTACAGTGGATTACACTGAACTCAGGCTAAAGCTCACAGAGAGGTCTCACTTGTTCCATGAAGCTGATCCTTATCTCATAGGCAATACATTACTTTTAAAAGCTCCAACCCCAGAAGAAAGTGTATCTTTCTGGATGTTTGGACCTGGTCAGCAATGCAGTGGTCACATTGTTTTTCAGGAGAAGCTTGACAAAGGCAAATCCATTAGTAAGGCAGATGAAACAATCATTAATAATGATGGGAGGACAAGCACCTTGAAAACTAATGACTGGAACATTAAACTAGCCTTGAAATATTCAAACTATTTAATCATCACGTCACAATTTTGAATCGGGTCATTTTTTTTTTCAAGCAAGGAGTGTTTAGAAAAAACAAGGATGATTTAAATTTCAATGACTTAATTAAACTGTAAGTCTAAAACGCAGTGAAAGGTGTTCACAGGTTGACACATTTGCCATTCTTGTTTTTTTTTTTTTTTTTTGAGGGGGTCTTTAAAAAGCCCACAGCTGATCAAGAGATTCTGTTATTTTAACAGCAAAATGTGTCCATTCTTTGAGCAGCCAAATTAACTCCTTCCCACCTAAGGGTAAAACAAATGTTAAAGCTGACGATCAGTGCAACTTCATGCGTAGCTTGCCAACATCTGTGCAACTTTATTTACACAGATGTCAATGCAAGCTGCATATGAAATCGCGCAAAAATAGTGCAGGAACCTCTTTCAAAGTTGCTGCACACCAGTTTGAATGGTTTCATATTGGCAAATAGGGCGTGACTTGTCATGGGACTTCAATCTGTCAAATGTTAACCAGGGGATAAATATTATATCTGATATAAAGTTGTATCCGGACCTCTTAGCAGTGCTGTGGCACCTCAATTTCCATTTTTTGTTTCATGTATCAAAATGTCAGTATTTCAAAGTTCACAGGCAAGAATCATCTACATGTACGTGTAGCTAAAGGCAAACTTTTTCACATCTCTGCACCATGTCTAATCCCAGGGTATCTGTATTGTGAATTGGGAACACAAATTAAATTGCATACTGATATTTAAAATGCAGACGCAGGGGCGGACTGACAACTCATGGGGCCCCCGGGCAATAGGGGATCATGGGGCCCCTGTGTCCTTGCCCAAACTCAAAAAAAGCTATGAAAAAGGTACCAGTGGCATCTCATGGGGACCCTACTGACCCAGGGCCCTCAATAGGGGATCATAAGACACCTGTGTCCTTGCCCAAACTCAAAAAAGCCTATGAAAAAGGTACCAGGGGCATCTCATGGGGCCCCCTACTGACCCCAGGCCCTCGGGCAGTGCCCGAGTTTCCAAATGGTCAGTCCGCCCCTGTGCAGACGTGTAAATGCTCTGCATGGGGACAAGACGATACATCTCTTCCCTTTAATTTGATGCAGTAAAAGTATCTTACAAGCTTGTAGCCCAGCAAACTAAACTGGTATTAAATCTATGTTCTGGTAGATCTTTTACTGTCATAATCTATCCAGTTTTTCTTTCTTTTCTATGCAATAATTGCATGTGAAGAGTGTATTGTGTTCTGATAATCACCAGACGTATTTATATACTTATGCATTATTCAATTCAATTATTCTATATAAAGCAACTTTTAAATGATGTTTATAGACATTAAAAGGGAATGTATCTTTTTTTACATAATTTTTTGTTTTGCTGTGTACAGTAGACCAGTCTTTCTCAACCAAGCTGAAGTTTAGGATCCCCTGGAGTGCCTTAGACATGAGGTGCAGATTACCCTGGATCACTCACTATTATGTGTTGCCATGGTGTGAGCCTGCCACCAGCACCCTAACAACCAATGAAGCTCTAGAGCCGGGACCATGGCAACCCATGGCTCTGCTGTGAAGGAGGTCTCTGATGTGATGGTGGGACTGTGATATGATGGGGGTCCTCTTAGTTGATGGGGAGAGCATGATATGAAGGGGATACGCTGTAAATTTTATTAGTAAATAACTTTACCATGATTTGTAACAGAAATTTTATTGTGTGGCAATAGTAACCAATTCAGCACCGTCCGTCCACATTGTATCTGTACGTTGCCACTTTGTCAGCAGGTCCTGGGCCAATGATTCATGGCCGGGACCTGCTGTTCAGCTGTGTTCAAACACAGTCCAGTGCCCTGTGTTGATAAACAACACAGGGCTCTGTACAGAGGGACCAGTGATTGTTTCTTCTCCCTGCACAGCAGAGAGAAGGAACACATAGATGTTTACAAAAAAGCAGCACATATTACACACATTAGCACTTGTTAGGCACACACTTAAAGCAATTCTAAATGGTTTTTTTTTTTTTTTAAATATCAAACATGTCTATACTTACCTACTGCGTGCAGTGGTTTTGCACAGAGCAGCCCAGATCCTTCTCGAGTCCTCCAAAGGGCTTCCTGGCCCCTTGCTTCTGTCGGGTTCCCCAACAGCAAGCAGCTTGCTATGGGGTCACCTGCTGCTCCATATGTCCATTCACACACGGAGCAGTGTCTTGGCCTGGCCCCCTCACTCTCTCCTCATTGGCTGACTGGCTGTGATTGACAGCAGCAGAAACCTATGTCTCCTGCTTTCTGTCTCAGCCAATGAGGGAGCAGAGACCCAGGACAGCCGAGGCTGTTGTTCACATCACTTGATTGCGATGAGGCTCAGGTAAGTATTGAGGGGGCTGGGGGAGCTGCTGCATACAGAAGGTTTTTTACCTTAAAGCGTAGAATGCATGAAGGTAAAAAACCTTGAACCTTTACAACCTCTTTAACCCCTTGATTACCCCGGGATGTTAACCTCCTTCCCAGCCAGTGTCATTAGTAGTGATAGTGTATAGTATTATCACTGATCACTGTATTAGTGTCACTGGTGATGTCAGTGTCAGTCAGTTCCCACCCAGTGTCAGTTAGTGTCAGATTGCCCACTGCACATCACAGTCCCTCTATAAGTCATTGGTCACTGTAATTACTAGTATAAAGAAATAAAGAAATAAAAATTCCAGTATATATACAATAGTTTGTTGATGCTATAACACAAAACTAATCAATATACACTTATTGGGTTTTTTTTTTTTTACCAAAAACATGTAGCAGAATACATTTTGGCCTAAATTTATGAAGAAATTAGATTTGTTTTAATTATTTTTATTGGATATGTTTTATAGCAGACAGTAAATAATATTTTTTATAAAAAAAAAACCCAGTGGTGATCAAATACCACCAAAAGAAAGCTCTATTTGTGTGAATTTTGTTTATACATTTCATTTGGGTACAGCATTGCATGACTGCGCAATTACCAGAATAGCAAAAAATGGCCTGGTCATGATGGGGTAAAACCTTCCAGGGCTTAAGTGGTTAAACAGGATACATACTAGTATAAAAATATTTTTTTGCCCAAAGTATTACTGTTTATATTAGCAAAAAATAGTATTTTCTGGTTTTGTCACATTTTTTGTCAATTGTTTTAGGCAGCAAAACCGGGTCATGACTCATAGTGTGGCCTGTTCATGGGTAGTGCTCAAAGCACCAGATGTTCTCCCAAAATGTAAACCTGGCTCTGGTTGGGATACATAATATTCAGCCTCTTCTTAAACAGCAGAATTGCTGCATGGATCTGGCAGGAACATTGACAGACAAGATGGGTAACTTAAAGAATAATTATACGATTAGCAAAGATATCTTTGAATGCACTGACCAGCCTGCAAGCCAGAATTTCAAGGACAAAGATACACAACCCTGTTAGTGAAATACCATTTGTGTCACTGTGAATTGACGCTCCTGTGGTATAATTACCTAATTGAAGAGTTATTTTAAGTGAGGCTATATATTTCGAGACTGCATATGTCAAGCCTCGGGAGCTAACACAATGTATGCACTTCTCACATTTACTGGACACCCGCAGTTCTCCTTCTATAGCCAGTGCATAATTACCACCAGATGTCATATTATGGGGCTCAATCATTAAGGCCTTTTAGTCTGTTGTGGTACATTACTGCACACACCTTAACATGCAGTATTTTGTTTGTTAACCTGCACTGTGTTAAAGAGTTTGGAACATTTGCATTTGGAATGGGCTGCCAATGCACCTCCTAGGATTAAAATGGCACATGCACTGTAGTGTGCTGCCCACTATTGTAGTTGTGTGTTGGGAGTGCCATTCTAATGCAATTAGAAACTAATTTTAACAAACTAATTTTAGCATGTATTGCCGCATCACATAGATCTAAAGGGGTCTTAAACTGGAGGAAAGAAAATAAGATCAAAAGTTGGGATAAACGGCACAATTCACTAAAGCTTATCGCATGAGTTAAGTCAGTCACATGACCACATATGGCATGCCATACTGAAAATGTCAATTCACTATTGCTAGTATGCGGTATTTACCAAAAATAGCAAAACACTCCGTAAATACTGCATAAAAAAACCTTAAAGTCAATTCACAAAAGGAAATAAATAATTAAATGCATGTGGTAATTAAGTAGTGGTCCAGGCATGCGGTATGTACTGGTGTCTGTCAGTACTATCATGGGTTGTTAAGGAATGGGTGGCTGCCGAGCCCCTAACAACCTATGAGTCATCAGCTGTCAGTGGGGTTTCCCACTGACAACTGAATATAAAAAAAAAAAATTGCCGGCAATTAAAAAATCGGCATGGGGTCCCCCACCTCCATCCATACCAAGGCCTTTGGGTCTGGTATGGGTTTTGAGTGGAACCCCCAGGCCAATTTTTTTTTTAAAAAATGGCGGGGGGCCTCCCCAAAATGTATACCAGTCCTGAAGGGCTTGGCATGGATGGAGGGGGGGACCCCATGCCGTTTTTGAATAATTTTTTTTAATAGTAGTAGAAAAGACTGTTCTCTGCCAGCATGGTGTAGAAAAGGACTCTTGCTTTCTGTGTAGTAGTGCGTAGAAATTCCCATACTGAATCAGGTCTATAGTTCTGCAATCAAAGAAACGTTTGCTCCCTGCTGATTGGAGAGCTCTAGCTCTGACTTATTAACGAGCATGTTGGACTTTGTAGAGAGTTCTGCAGAGACACTGCTTCTGCACAGACAGCACAGACCCTGCTTCTGCACAGACAGCACAGACCCTGCTTCTGCACAGACAGCACAGACCCTGCTTCTGCACAGACAGCACAGACCCTGCTTCTGCACAGACAGCACAGACCCTGCTTCTGCACAGACAGCACAGACACTGCTTCTGCACAGACAGCACAGACACTGCTTCTGCACGACAGCAAGATCTCTTCTCTGCAGTATGCTGATAGGGGGCATGATTTTCTGAATGAACATGGATGTCAGACCCTTGCCTTTCCCACCAACTCATGGCAAAGGACAGGCCAATCTCACACCACACTATCACTTATATAACAATTCCGCTCTCAGCTGCACCCTGCACAAAGATTTTCCAGCTCGCGGTACCACAATCTAGGTGCCAGTAGCCTGAGAGGGATTGTCACTGGGTTACATTAACTAAGTAATTAACTCTTTAAGCTACCACCCCCATCACCTTTTTACTGAGAAGGAGGAAACTCACAATCTTAGCAATACCAACTATGATTTTAGAATAAACGTCTGTGACATACACTGTCACCACAGGCAGGTATATCCAGACAACTATTCTAAAGTAGTACTTTTCAAGAGACAGGGATTCTTTTAGTTTGCATTAGCGCATTTACAGACAATTTCAACACTTTCCAAAAATAGGGTTTATTAACCTCCCTAGCGGTCTGATTATGTCAGTATTTCTGTGCTCAAAGCGGTACATTTTTTTGCATGGAAATATGTAGTTTTTTTATTCTAGGCCTGTAATTTTTAGGAATAACTCACTGAAATCTGTCCAAACAAGAGTCTAGTAAACATCCCAGGTATGTTAAAATTTGAAACACGAAATAATAAATTATAATTTAATAAATAATCATTAAAAAAAATAATATAATAAGAATAAATTTAACCTCCCTAGCAGTCTGATTATGTCCATATTTCTGTGCTCAAAGCGGTACATTTTTTTGCATGGAAATATTTATATTTTTTATTGTAGGCCTGTAATTTTTAGGAATAACTCACTGAAATCTGTCCGAAGAAGAGTCTAGTAAACATCCCGGGTATGTTACAATTTGAAACACGAAATCATAAATCATAATTTAATAAATAATCATAAAAAATAATAATATAATAATAATACATTTAATTCAATAATATAATCAAACCAAAAACACTAAAATTTGAAATACAGCGCCAAGTTCGCACATCACTGAGCAAAGTCACAAAATGTTTTCAGTGTCTGATGACAAATTTCCCCACGAATCATTATCACTCAATTCTGCAAGTAGTTCTAATTTACTATCTCTGTTCTCTAGCTGGTCTAAAACT